CTTGAACCACACGGGATTCTAATAAAAATGTATTAGCAATCCCATAGTATGCTAAAATTACCAAAATATTCTTCCCAGCTCTTCTTACCAGAATAAAGTTTTGATTCATATTCAATACATATATCTGGCATATGTAAAAATATGAGGGGGCTTCAAAAAATTTGAAGTTTAAGTCCAAATTTTTATGAGCTTTTTGAAGCCTCTTATAAGTGCTATCTAAGAAAGATTTTAAAAATTCACTTTCCCATGACTTGTCAAGATTGGACAGAAATGAGGAGTCTATATGACAGTTAAAATACCTAACAAAAGTGAAAAATGATCAAATTGATTTAAAAGAAACAAGTCAGTTGTTTATCATTAAATGGAGAATAAATGGGGTATTATGTTTCTTCTTCTACACTTGTCATCTAAAAACAAGTGTGCATACTGCATTACATGCCTGGCTTGGCACTGTTGTATAAGCACTGGACTGCTAACCACAATGTCAGTGGTTCAAACCCACCAGCAGCTCCTCAAAAATTCTATATAGGGTCGCTATGAGTTAGAACCAGCTCAATGGTCTTTGATCTTCATGAGTTAAGTATTTTAAAAGTTATTTTCACTTCCAGCAAGCAAGGCTGTAGCATCTGCATTCGCAGGTTAAAAAGTCTTCCTCCAAGAATGACACCACATTCTTCTTCATATAATCCAGCTTCTCAGATTATGTGCTCAGTGTACTGATTGAATAAGTATGGTGAAAGAATGCAACGCTGGCATACACCTTTCTTGATATTCAATTATTCAGTGTCCCCTTGCTCTATCTGAATGACTGCCTCTTGGTCTATGTACAAGTTCCTCACGAGTACAATCAACTGTTCTGGACTACCCACTCTTGACAATATTAGCCATAGTTTTGCATGGTCCACAACGTTAGAAGCCTTTGCATAGTGAAAAAAGCATAAGCAAGCATCTTTCTTGTATTCTCTGCTTTCAGCCAAGATCTATCTGACATCAGTAAAGGTATCTCTCATTCCACCATCAGCAGGTTACAAGTGAGGAACAGAAAATGCACAGGGCACATTTCTTTCAGTCAGGACAACCTCTACTCAGACAGGTCCACAGGTAGGCCTCTCTCTGCCCAGGTAATACTAGGAAACTCTTTCAGGTCTTTTGATAAATGCCCACAGGACACATTTATATTAATAAAATGTTGTTGTTATGTGTCATCCAGTCAGGTCCAACTCATAGCACAGTGAGTTAAAGTTGTTTTGAACTTCAAGGTCAGTGGTTCAAGCTCACCAGTCACTCCTCAGAAACCCTACCCAGGGTCGCCATGGGTCAGAACAGACTCCACGGCATTTAACAGCAACATAGGGTTTTTCCAAGGCTGTACATTTTTGCACTAACAGAAAGTCTCATCTTTTTCCCATGGAGCATGTGGTGGGTTTGAACTAGCCACCTCTGGCTCACAGGTTGGTGCTTATCCTACAGCACCACCGAGTTTCCATTTATAAAGTAATTATCAAAAAATTCTGCATTTCAGAAAATAATTTTCTAAGAAGCAAACTAGTTTTAAACCAATCTAGTTAATGTGGAAAACATTCAGATTTTGAAAGAGGAAAAAGACCAAAAAAAAAATTTATAGTAGGATTAACAGGAAGCATATGTACTCACAACTAGAAAGCATGCAAATAAATACAATAAAGATGTGTTTTTCCAAACGAGATGTGTTCTCCAAGTCCGAAAATAAATTTTTTAAATTCAAGGATAAAGAATTAAATCATTACCAATATGCCAGACCAATAACTGGCTGTGACCTACATATCTTCACACAGTGCAAAATCTCTTAACATTTCCATTTTGGGTGGCATAGCCATCATCTGTTTTGCTGTCAGAAATTGCTACACACCTAATTTCTCCCTTACTCACTATAGCAATCTAATATTTTCATTTACATATTTTCATTTACATCTACAGTCAAAAATCAAGTTACATCATCTTAAACCCAGGTAAGGACCCATGTGTTTTGAGTGAGTGACTCCCTCCTGATCCCCCAAGTCCCCTTGACTGCTCCAAGCCTAACCCCACCCCCCACCCCACCCACAGTCATGGATGAAATAAAGTTGAGAGACTGAGAGCAAGAGAAGGCCCTATGCTGTTGCCCTGAGCCATTAACCGACACCCTTCTGAGGTCTCACTGTGGCTTTAGGGCTGCAAGCTTGAGACAAAGTGTCAGAGAGGCATACAGCAGTTCACTTTCTAGTAGACCCTGAAATGTGTCATTTGCATGTTTAAGGGTGCCAACACCAGTGGGCAGCTGACCCTGATGGGTGAGTGTTTCCATGGAAATCAAGAGCTCTGTGGGGGGTTGGTAGCATGGTTCCCTCTGAGCTGCAAATCCTGAACCAATCAGCTCTGTCTGTGGTTTGGAAATCTGTTCACCCAAAACTGGGAAATCACAGCTCCTGAACAGGTGAACTTTGACCAATGACTGCAGAAGGTGGCCCAGTCCCACAGGCCATCCCTGACATGACTCCTGGAACCTGCAAAGCATTTGGTTGCAGCAGTTTTGTTTAATGTAACAGCCTGGTCTTTGGAGCCTAGCCATTTCATTAACTGAGGGATGGATGTATAGACCATCAGGTCATTGGAAACAAGTCTTTTGACTTGTGTGGACATTTTAGCAGTATTTTTCCTTGCACAGTAAGAATTCAAAAGCACATACCAGCCTGGTCATAGATTTTCTGGGGTTCCTGCCTTGATAGAAACTTTGTTGCTATTGTTAAGTGCCACTGAGTCAGTTCTGACTCAAAGCGACCCTAAATAGGGTTTCCAAGGAACAGCTGGTAGATTGGAACCACCGACTCCATTCCAGTGCTGACCCTACAGTGCCACATCAGGACAAGGATGACATCAGTGATGATTATACCAGAATTTTTGCAAATGAGAATGTTAGTGGTCTTCCAAAAGAACAGATCAGAAAAGGAGTCCAACAAATGGCCCTTAGCTTTGGAAACAGGCTACCAAGCCTCCTTCTATAATTAGAGAGGGCCCTCGGCACAAAAACTTGACTAAGACCAACAAAGCAGTGATTAAAAAAATACAAAACAAAAAAACCTAGGGCCGTCATTCACATTCATAGTCTGTGAAAATATTATTATTGTTGTTGTCAAGTGTCATCAAATTGGTTCTGACTCATAGCAACCCTGTATAGCAGGTGAGGAACCCTTTTTCTGCCAAATTTTATAATATCATTCACAGGCCATACAAAATCACCTGCTTTAAAATTAGCCTGCTATCCTTGGTCAAACATTTCATTAACTCTCCCCTAATGTGATGGTTGGACCAGACCAAATGATTTTGCCTTATATGTGGTCCATGGGCCAAATGCTCCCCATCCTTGCTATATAGGATTTCCAAGGAGCTGGTGATTATCCTACAGCACCATACCAGGATCCCCCAAAATATTTTTTATTTTAAAGTTGTTTTTTACACTGGTTTTTATAAATTATACGTGTGGAGGTTTTATAAACTGTTTTCTACATTTAATCCATCTCAAAGTCTCTGATATCAATGAGAGTTCTAAGAAAGCCTAAAGTGAAAAATGTTTTTTACCTCTAATGTTATATAAGATGGGATACTTTCAGATTAAGGACGAATGTTTAGCTCTGCCCAGTACATTTTTGTGTGTGTTAATCTCTAAAAATATACTACTAACCAAAAAATTGAAAATAAGACACTCACACACCACCGATGACACGAATTGATCCAATTCCAAGAAAATCACCAGTATTTTTTAAAAAGTTTGGAACAGAATCTATGTGTTCACTAAAATCTATGGCTTGTCCAAAAAAGTGAGGTTTCTCATAAATAATAACCTGAAAAATATGAAAGACAATTACTTAACAAGCTCATATTTTATAACATATACATACTGATTTGCTTAAGTCTTACTCAAGACCAAAATATGAATAGAAACTATTGCCATTTCTTTCCATTAATATATACTTAGAATTTAGCACAGTATTGATTTAAAACACACAAGGAATACTGGAGTCTTTATCAACATAAAGGCAAAAAATCCTGCTTAATAACATTTAAGGTATTAAGGTTTCGCCGTTATTAATATACACTAGTAAGATTATGGTCTGGTTGCCTAAATATCAGGACCACTTCATTGCTCTTGAATTATCTAAGTTCATCCCTGTATTTGGAATCTAATATATATCTGCCTTATATTTAAGAAATAAAAACTCTTGAGATTCTAAGGCATAACAATATATTGTCGACTAATTTGAGAAAACACATGCTGTTTCTTTTAACATTAACTGCTTCTATGGTTGTTAAGAAGAAAGACACTCAAATTCTTGAATTTAAACAGAAAATTTGTTGAAAATAAGGAATGAAAGAAAATTATGGTTTATAAAACTGGATTTTGGATTCAAATGGATTCCAGGGGGGGCAAGGGAGATATGATTGTAGTTGTTGTTGTTAAGTGCCGTCGAGTCCTTTCCGACCCATAGCGACCCTGTATAGGGTTTCTGAGGAGCAACTGATAAGCTTGAACTGCTGACCTTGCAGTTTAAACAGCTTTGCAGTCTGGCACATTAACCCATGGCGTCACACCAGGATTGCAGTTGTTGTTATGTGCCATAGAGTCGGTTCCTACCCATAGCAACCCTGTACAGGGTTTCCAAGGCTATAAATATTTACGGGAGCAGAAAGCTTCATCTTTCTCCCACAGAACAGCTGGTAGTTTCAAACTGCTGACTGTGAGATTATCAGCCCGATTCGTAACCACTACACTACCAGAGCTCCTTAAATTTCATTTACTTGGTACAAATCTTTCTCTTCTACTATTTTCTGGTCTTTACTGCCCATGTACAAGCGGTAGAAGTGGTAAGAGGGATAACAGAACTTACCCACACTGCTTTACCTGGTCCTATTTGCTATTAACATAATTTGTGCACAACTGATAACCCATGACTGACACCAAGACTCCATGTTTAAATAAACTGGCGCAAGAAGCTGTAGCTTCCATATATATAAAAACTGATTGTGAGATTATATAGACTGAAAAAAAATATACCAAGGTTAGTAAAAAATGGAAAAAAAGTATTGCTACTAGGTTTCCAGTTCACACGTGCACAGGTTTATTCCAAATAAGGCATGAATAAGCATGACTCTGTGATCAGTGAATGGCTGCAGATAAATTCTCTCAGTAAATCACTTGTCTTAATCTGATTATGGTGTCTTAACAACAAACAGCAGCAAAAGGATATTTTTTATGCCATGTTAAGAAAGAAATCAGTCTTGAAGTCAAGACTAATTCCAAATATTTAACAAAACTCAGGTGGACATCTCTCCAAAGCACTAAGGCTTTGCAATAAGTTTACAGAAATGCTGCCCTACATAAAATGATAGTTTTTATATGGATCAAGCATTTTAAACAAGTTTAGGAATACCTCAAAGTTGAGTTAAAAAAAGGATACACAATGAGCCTCAATAAATAAGGAAACTGTGGCTAACATCCAGAAACTTGGGGAAGACCACCACAGAATTACCACTGATACAACAGCTCTTGAAGTTGGACTCTCACATGGTTCAATTTTTGTGACCATCTTGGCAGGATAATGCACTGGACCGCAAGGTCAGTTTGAACTGCAAGGTTGGTGGTTCAAACTCACCAGCCACTCCTTGGAAACCCTATAAAGGGTCACTATGAGTCAGAACCGACTCAACAGCAGTTAACAACAACAACATCTTGGCTTCAGCAAGCATTCAGTTCAATGGGTGTCAAAAGCGTTATGCAAAAATCAGCTAGCTCAAACAGCTAGTTCTAACCATTTCTTAAGCAAGAATGAAGTTATATAAGGATGATTTCAAGGAATAAACTATAACCAGGGACAATCCTTGGATTTACCTACAGGATCTAGAGAACAGGGTCCAAACAAAAAACAGTGGCTCCTGAGGAGAAGCACTGGGTCAGTTGAATTCAAGGTCGACATAAAAGCTCAAAAGATTAAGTAACTATTTTTTGATTTCCAAAGGGGTTATCACGAAAGATTTTCTCAAAGGACAAACACACAGGCTTTTATTAGAAAGTTTGAAGAAAATAGAAAATTGCGTTAGTAAGAAAAGAGGCTAGCAAACTTGCACCGTGATTTTTTTTTTTTTTTTTTCATCAGAACAATGTATCTGCTCAATCTTTGAGTGTAGCAAGCACTGTCCTATGAGAATTTCACTGGGCAACTTTACCCCATTTACCAACAATCCTAATCCTGCCCTTGCTAATTTCTTTTTGTTCTCCAAACTCAAGGAACATTTGAGTGCCTCAAAGGTGTCCAAACTGCTATTTTGCTGTGATATAAATCAAGGAGCAAACGTTTCTTCAGGGAAGGGTTAGATGAAAACACAACCTTTAAAAAGTGTATGGACCTAGATGTAAGATATACTGAGAAATAATTTAAAATGTCCCATTTCAGTACTTTGGTTTGATAAAGGTTTCTATAATTTTGTAGCAACACTTTTTGACTTACTTATAATACTACTCTCCTGCTGTTTTGTACATATTAGATTTTTACTGGGCACTGTACTTGAAATGATGAAGTTTTATTTGGGTTTTATACATGCTACATATTCTGGAGATATTCAAACTAAGTAAAAATGAATCATTCTTCTGTAGATCAGAAATTAGTATTTACAACTTGAAAACTGTTTATCTATGCTGATTCTTTCAAATATATACATCTACAACCTGTCAAACTATCCAGGGAAGACTCAATCTGTTACACAGTTAATAAGAAACGAAAGAGCAAGAGACATCCTGTTCTGATTCAGCAGATGATGATGCTGACTCAGGAACCAACTCCGAGGCTATCACAGTTAACTCTGCATCCATTAGATCAGTAGTTCCCAATCTTGACTGCATTTGAGAATCACCTGAGAAGTGATAAAAAATTCTGCCTATATCCAGCCCACAGTCCAGATATCTGTGGGACTGGAACTTAAAGCCTAAATATATATTTTCTTAATTTAGATATATGGGGCATTAGTTGGTACGGCTAGATTGTACATAAAAAAACAGCTGAAAGGGCAAATGTCTTGTTGTTTTATATATTGTAATAATAAAAATAAATTCAGTAAAAACGTTTAGATGCTGTGGTACCTTGAATTTACTTGATATGGCTTTTCAATTCAAAGTCTTCATTCCCACCAGTGACTGGGTGGTGGTGGTGATGTGCCTTGGAATCGGTTCCAACTCATCGTGAACGTGTACAAAGTTTCTGAGGCTGTAAATCTTTATGGGAGCAGAAAGCCTCGTCTTTCTCCTGTGGAACAGCTGGTAGTTTTGAACTGCTGACCTTGCGACTCACAGCCCAATTTGTAACCACTACGCTACCAGAGCTCCTGAGTGACTGGGTGCGACTAGGCAAATAAGCCATAAAGGACTCAAAGGCAGGAATTGGTTAGTTTGTTATCCTATTAGGTTTAAAAGGAGCCATCTCAGAATCAGGGACAATCCCAGGACCATCAAGACAGAAAAGCATGAGTGGAGTCTGAGATCCCTACCTAGAAAAGTGGTAGCAACAGAGGTGTGGCAGATCAGCTGTGGGTTCTAGGCCCAGAGATCCAGTAAAGCTAAGTGGCTACAGGCAGGAGGCTGCCTTGCAGAATCTGTCTTTTGAGCATTCACAGACTGGCTAAAAGAGCTTTGTAAAACTTGCCAGAACAGGGCAGAGGCCAAGGGGCCACATGGTTGAGTGGTCAAAGACCAATGTGAAGCATGTCTTCAGTAAGGTAGAGAAGAGGCATTCCTGATTAGAAATTTGGAGTCCCAGTCTGGCACTGTAGGATAATGCAATGGACAGCAAGGTCAATTTGAATCACAAGGTTTGTGGTTCACACCCACCAGTTGCTCCTCAGAAAGCATATACAGGGTTGCTATGGGTCAGAACCGACTCAACGACACTAACAACAACATCTTATAGTCAAAGTATATTAGATATACTTGGATATATAAGTCGAAAAAGGCTCCATCTGTGACTAAGGATTAGGACAGGTAGTCAATTCTATAAGCAAGGAAGTCCAGAAATGACAAGGTTGGAAGAGTCATGTCTAGTTTTGACAGAAAAGAGCAAATCCCAGTGTTTCCATACTTGCCTCTGGAGGGGCTATAAGTCAACTGAATAGAGGCCTGTTGGTTTATCTCTGCATAAACACCTGTTTACTAATTCTGTTTCTTTCCTAAAATGTGCTAAATCAGAGTACAACCTCCACCCAGTTTTTTTTGCCTGTACTTTTCCCTTCAGATACTCATACTTACAAGGGATGTCTATCTTATCAGCTTATCAACATCATCTTCTGACCAGCCTTGATCTCCTGAGTTTCACTCCAAAATTCCTCATAGATATCTCCACATTGAGAGATGCCTCAATGGTTATCTACTGTCTCAAGTCCAACAAAATATAAACCTTAATACCTTTCCTCCTCCTCCTTGTTGTTGTCAGTTCCAACTCATAGTGACCCTGTATAGGGTATCAAAGAAGTGGCTGGTGAGTTCGAACTGCCAATCTTGTGGTTCAAACCGACCTTGTGGTCCAGTGCTTTATCCCACAGCGTCACACCACTATTTGAGTTTGCCCACTGTACACATAGATTTCCATTTTTCCTCACTGACCCTATCCCCACATTCACAGCTGCAGGTGGGCCCCTTGCAAACATCTTATGTAATCACTTTCCAGAATTCCAAAGTCCATGAACTAGGTGCTATTTCCATGTACTTACGTACGTAAAAAAATTTTTAAAAACACAAAACTTTTTAATGCTTGTTTTTGTTAAGCGCCACTGAGTTGGTCCTAAATCACAGCAACCCTGTATGGGGTTTATGAAGAGTGGGTGGTGGGATTGAACTGCCAACCATGCAGTTACCAGCCCAGTGCTTACCCTACAGCACCACACCAGGACTCCATTTAATGATTGGTGCTGGTTATGTGCTGTGGAGTCAGTTCCGACCCATAGCGACCCTGTACAGGGCTTCTGAGGCTGTAAATCTTTACGGGAGCAGAAAGCCTCATCTTTCTCCCGTGGAACAACCGGTAGTTTCGAACTGCTGACCTTGTGGTTTGCAGCCCGATTCATAACCACTACACTACCAGAGAATTTAATGACTACACACCTAAAAATTAATAGTGAAAACCTTTAGGACATGAAAGTCTGCTAAAGACTTACCTTTAGGTTCATAGGCATTTCCACTTTCAAGCCACCCTTGAGACGACAAGAAATTTTAATGTTAGATATATAATTAAAACATCTGAAAGTAACTAAGCTAGATGCATAGTTAATAAAAAATATGACAATAGTGACAACATACCAGTCACATTTAAGTTGCAAGCACACACTATATAACACTCAGCAAAGTCCAAATTGAATGTGAGTATAAAGGGGTAAGAAATCCTAGAAAATACTTAGTCCTTGAGTGTAAGTGACCAATAAAATACTTAACCCCACTGTATTAAAAAAAAATAAGAGTGGATTTGTTAGTGATTTTAAGTCATTTAAGACCACTGTCTTCCTCTACATTAGAGAAGGATCACAAAGCTAACCACTCTTCCACTTCCAATTTGAACTTTTTTTCATACTGAATGTCTTTGAGACCTCAAAATTGTACAGCATAAAAGGCCTTTCCTCAAAGTAAACACAAGTCTAGAGTTTTCTTGTTTAAGTATTATTGTACACTGCATTCCTTAAAAGGTCATATGTTTACTGGTTTATACTTTTTATCACCACTTGACTGTCAGTTTGTCACATTGAGGTGCCTTGCAAGTTGCTCTGATGCTGGAAGCTACATCACCGGTATTTTAAATTGTCAACAGAATCACCCAAGGTGTACAGGCTTCAGCAGAGCTTCCAGACTAAGACAGACTAGGAAGGAGGACAGGTGGACTACTTCTGAATGTTAGCCACTGAAAACCTTTTCAATAACAGAAATATTGTCAGATATAGTCCGGAAAGATGAGTCCCTCAGGTTGGAAGGTACTCAAAATACAAATGGGGAAGAGATGTCTTCTCAAAGTAGAGGTGAACATAATGATGTAAATGGAGTAAAGCTTTAAGGACCCTCACTTGCTGATGGGGCACAGCTCAAAATAAGGAGAAACAGCTGCAAACATCTGTTAAAAAATGGAAAATAGAATGTATGAAGTATGACTCTAGGGAAAATGGAAGTTGTTAAATATTGAAACACATGAAGATTAGTATCCTAGGCAATAGTGAGCTGAAGTGGACTGGTATTGGCTGTGTTGAACCAGACAATCACATGGTTTACTACTATGAAACAATAGGGCTACTATTGTTGACCTTAGAAGGATCTTGGCTGAAAGCAGAGAGCATCAGAAAGATTATTTTGCTTCTACACAAAGGTTTTCGACTGTGATAAACTATGGATAACATTGCAAAAAATGGATATTCCAGAACACTTTAATTGTGCTCACAAGGAACCTCTATATAGACCAAGAGAGGCAGCTGTCAAAACAGACCAAGGGGATACTGAATGGTTTAAAATCAGGAATTGTGTGTACCTGGGTTGTATCTTTTCACCATATTTCTTCAGTCTGTATACTAATCAAATAACCCCAAAAACTGGATTATACGAAGAATATGGCATCAGAATTGGAGGAAGAATTATTAACAATCTGTGACAGGCAGAGTATACAACCCTGCCTGCTGAAAGCGAAGAGGACTTAAAATAGCTACTGATAAAGATCAAAGACCACAACCTTCAGTATGAATTGCTCCTCAATGTAACAAAGACAAAGATCCTCACAAGTGGACCAATAAATAACATCATGATAAATTGAGAAAAGATTGAAGTTGTCAAAGACTTAATTTTGCTTGTATCCAAAATCAACACTCATGGAAGGAGTAGTCAAGGAATCAAATGGTGTATTATATTATGTAAATCTGCTGCACAAGATCCCTGTAAAGTATTACATAACCGAACTCAGTTTGAGGACTAAGGTATGCCTGATCCAAATCCTGGAATTTTTTATTTTAATCATGGTGGTTATGTGCTGTGGAGTCGGTGCTGATTCACAGAGACCCTGTACAGGGTTTCCAAGGCTGTACATCTTTATGGGAGCAGAAAGCCTCAGCTTTCTCCCACAGAACGGTTGGGAGTTTCAAATTGCTGACCTTGAGATTAGCAGCCTAATTCATAACCACTATGCTACCAGAGCGCCTAAAGATCCTTATATGTGTGAAATTTTGACAATGAATAAAGAGAACAATCAATACATTTGAATTATGGTGATGGAAAAGAATGTAAAAATTACAATGGACTGCCAGAACAAACAAATCTGTGGTTGAAGAAGTACAGCCAGAATGCTCCTTAGAAAGCAGGATAGTGAGACTTCATCTCTTATACTTCGGACATGTTATTAGGGGGTTCGAGTCCCTGGAGAAGGACATCATGCTTGGTAAAGTGGAGGCTTAGCTAAAAAAGAAAAACCCCAAGGAGATGGATTGACACAGTGGCAGTAGTGGTGGTGGTGGTTATGTGCCGTGAAGTCGGAACCGACTCATAGAGACCCTGTACAGGGTTTCCAAGGCTATATATCTTTACGGGAGCAGAAAGCCTCATCTTTCTCCTGCGGAACAGCTGGTAGTTTCAAACTGCTGACCTTAAGGTTCTCAGCCCGATTAGTAACCACTACACTACCAGAGTTCCAGTAATGGGCTAAAAATGTAACAGCAACTGTGAGAATGGCACAGGAGAAGGCACGTGTTTCGTTGTTCACAGGGCTGCTATAATTCGGAACCAACTGGATGGCACATTGCAACAAACAATACCATACTTTTTTAAATGATACCGAATGACCAAAAATGGTTTGTGCTATGTGATGGTTAAGGTTATATGTCAACTTAGCTAGGTCATATTTCTCAGTAGTTTGGGAGATACTATGTAATGATCAACCGGTCAGTTGAAAAGAGTTTCCTTGGGAGTATGGCCTGTATCCATTATACATGGATGGCCTAGCAAAGCTCATTCTCATCGGACTGGTCTCTCTCTGACCTTTGGTTCTTGGAATGTTGAGTCAGAAACCTTCCAACTATCCTACAGATTTTGGGGTTTGCCAGCTCCTACAACCCATGAGCAAGAAAGCTTGTGCCACACCTACAATTCTGGATTCATCAGTACTGCAACTATGGGAGTCATGACCCATGACACTTGACTCACAGATTTGGGACTTTAACCATCCTCCACAACTGTATGAGCCATTTTCTTGAAATATGTTTCTCAACATATATTTATATATACCTGATTTTGCTCCTCAAGGGAACTCAGTCTAAAACATTTCATTTCAAAAGTAGAGTACTGCTCTAACAAATACATACAATGTGAAAGTGGTTTTGGAATTGGGCAAAGGGTGAATGCTAGAAGAGTTTTTAAGTGCCTAATTGTAAAAGCTTATGGGTTTTGACAACTTAGAGACTGTTGGAAGAATTCTGAGTGTCAAAGGCAATTCTGGTGAGTGCTCAGAAGAAAATGAGGGGAGATCAATATTGTTGTTGTTCAGAGTCAACAAGTTGGGTCCAACTCATAGAAACCCTGAATGGCACCAGCAAGAGAATGTTACTAGAAATGTGGATGTTACATGTGCTTCTGGTAATGCTTTAAAAGAAAATGATATTGCTACAATTTGACGAACTTCACCTACACTCATGGATATTGTTGTTGTTGTTGGGTGCTGTTAAGTCGATTCCGACCCATGGCAACCCTGAATAGGGTTTCCGGAGAGTGGCTGGTGAGCTTGAACCACCGGCCTTGAGGTTCAAACAACTTTGCAGTCTGACGAACTGGCTCACAGCGCCACACCAGGACTCCATATACTCATGGAGGTAGTAAAAACTTCAAATACCAACAAAAAGGGAAGGAGTCTTCACATCAAATAAATAGGGATGGACAACTTAGACATTGGTTACCTATAATGCATTAGGCAAATCTGCTGCACAAGACCTTTTTCATGTGTTGACGAGCAAAGATGTCAGCTTGAAGACTAAGGTGCACCTGACACAAGCCATGGTATGCTCTATAACCTCATATGCATACAAAAGCTGGACAGTGAATAAAGAAGGCCGTAGAAGAATTGATGCACTTGAGTTATTGTGTTGGAGGAGAATATTGAAAGTGCCATGGACTGCCAAAAGAACCAACATATCTGTGTTGGAAGAAGTGCAGCCAGAGTGTTCCTTGATGGCCAGGATAGCCAAACTTCATCTCTCATACTTCGAACATATTGTCAGGAAGGACTAGTTGTTGGAGAAGGATATCATGTTTGGTAAGGTGGAGGATCAGGGAAAGACTCCCAGCAAGATGGATTGGCAAAATGACAGCACCAATAGGCTCAAGTGTGGCAACAGTAGTGAGGTTGGCCCAGGATCTGGCATTGTTTTGTTCTGCGGTGCATAAGGTTGCTATGAGTCAGTACCAACTCAATGGCACTTATCAACAACAACCTAAAATGAGGGGGCGATAAAGGCACAAAGTGACTGGCTTACTAGGTTTCAAGGGGGAGTTTAGTTTAAGAGTGTGTGGGGGAAGAAAGAGTCCCCACTGAATAATTTTCATCATGTCTAGATAGGTCTAGTTAAAAGAGATGGGGATAAGATTCTTATGATTCAATAGTAATTGTCATCATGACTAATTCTGACGGTCACAGTTGTAAAGGTAGAAGTTTTGTAACAAAAGCAGGGGTGGGTAGTTAATCTTACAATCCAGAAACAAAGGACCCTAAGACCATCAAGGGAGAAGAGCACAAGCGGAATGCAAGACCTTATCCAGAGAAGCAGTGACACCAGAGACAAAGGCAGAGATGGGGACATGGAGAGAGGGAGCAAGTGAGGACTCTAGATTCATGGACAGAGAGGGACTGAGAGCTGGCACCCAGAGGCTGACTTGCAGAATGTGCCCTTTGGTGGTGTAAATTATTACACATGCCTGAGTGGTTTTCTTTTTTTAAAAAAAGAGCTAAATTGAATAGAGAGAAGTACTGTTAACTGATGGTACATGGAGGGGATTATAATCATTGTAATGAAACAGGTGTATGATTTGTTGAATGTAAAACTGATGAACTGCCCTGTAAACTTTTGCTCAATCCACTATAAAAACCTTAAAAAAGAAAGAAAATGATGACCGTGTATGATTGGGCAATGGAGGAAGGATGAAACTTTTTATTCAATGGCAAAGAAATTGTTTGAATTGTGCTCAAATATTCTGTGCAAGGTAGGGCTTGCAAATGATGAACTTGGATATTTGGTTGAGGTGATTTCTAAGAACTCAAAAAAGCCACACGATTTCTCCTTGTCACTTATAATAAAAAGCAGAAGGAAAGAGATGGACTTCAAAAATGAACTGTGCAAAATGCAAACAAAACTTTAAAAACGGGAAAATTCTGTTGTACAAACCAAGGACACATGTTCTACAATTTTCACCACGGCGATGGGTACACAAACCTTTGTCAAAGACCTAATCACTACAGTAGAAAATCCATCAGCTTAGAATTAAAGAGGACAGAGAAAAAACAAAAGAGAAAACATTATATAACTTTTGGAATTCAAGAGGCAGGAAACAAACCAAAGGAGCTACATCTGCTGTCCTCCAAGAAAGCAAACGGACCCGGAGCAGTTCAGCCATCAGCAAGACAACTGGAAGGAACACAGGAAGCAGGGATGCCTTGGTTTCAGAGGATGGGGCCACAGTCTCTGGGGTCGCAAAGGATAGAGCTATGGCCTTCGAAATTTCAGAGCATTGTTATCTTCACTAACTCAGTTTGCTCAAGAGGATGGGGCCCCTGACTAAAGCTGAGGGGCATGGTAAACATGCCCAAGGGGCAGAAGAATGAAGCCTGTCAGACAGGGCTGAGGTTGCCACTCAGATAAATAGCAAAGATGAAGCTGCCAAAACTCAGTAAATAGAGCTGTTATATAAGTGGGCCTGGAAGATGGGGCTGAAGCCCAGGGATAAGGGGTCTCTACCCAGAGTCAGGAGAGTGGGACCAGTGCCCAGATGTTCTCAGAGAACAGAGGATTATATATTTTCAAGCCTGTTATGGACTTGCTTGGTGTCCATTACCCTATCTTCCCCTCCATTTTCTCCCATTTGTAATGGAAACTTCTATCTGTGCCTGTTCTGTCACAATAATTTGGAAACAGATAGTATGTAATCTAGATTTCACATGTTCCGATATGAAGAACTTTGTCCCAAAGATGAAGAGGAAATGTAAATGAAGTCTTACCTTCTTTGGTTTAGATGATTCAGAAGATGAGACTTGGGAGTAGATTTAGGAATCTTGGGATGAAGTGACTGGTTGAGTGTATTTTGCACATGGAAATTAATTTGGGGAGGGGCAGCAGGTAGAATTCTATGAATTGAATTGTGTGTCCCAAAGACATTATGTTGTAAATCCTAACCTCTATGCCTGTGGTTATAATTTTGTTTGGGAATGATCTCTGTTATGTTAATGAGTCAGGATAAGTGTGCTTTGAGTCAATCTCTCTTAATGATATAAGAGAGATTAAACAAGCATTCTAAACACAGAGGTGGGTGAACAGAGATGCCAAGGTCACATGAAGACCGACCAGGAGCAGAAGCTAAGAAGAAACTAAGGATGTCCTCCAGAGCTGACAGAAAGAGAGAGAGCCTTCTCCTAGAGTGGACACTCTGAATTTGGACCTCTAGTCTCCTAAATGATGAGAACTACTGTATTTGTGAAAGCCATCCAGTTCTGACATTTCTGTTATAGCAGCACCAGATAACTAAGACATCACGTTGTTGTTGTTGCTGTTATTGTTAAGTGCCATAGTTGGTTCCAACTCCTAGCAATCCTATATAGGGTTTCCAAGGAGTGGCTTGTGGGTTTGAACTGCCAACCTTGTGGTTAGCATTTCAATGCTTATGCTACAGTGCTACACCAGACATCACATTAGTGAACATTTAATTGAATAATTTGTTCTTCAAATTAAAATGTCTGCTGCAATACAAACACAAAAATATACTACAGGTACATATTATCTTTAAAAGAAAGTAAACCTAGGCAGAATTGTCCACTTATTAATGCTGAGCTGATTTATTCATTACTATAATGGAAAAATACCATTTACTGCAACTGATTTTAGACATTGTTGTTGTTAGGTGCCATCAAGTCGGTACCGACTCATAGCAACCCTATGCACAACAAAACGAAACAAATCAAATTCCTAACTTAAATATTCTAAATTTTTACCGAACAATATGAATAAGTAAACTTGCCAACTATTGTTAGTGACTTGGCATAATAAAATGTAAACTTAGGTTATCTGTCTTCTAGATATTCAAAAATAGAAATGCTTTCACACAAATATTCTCTATAATATAAAACACAGAAAAATGATATAGAAACAGCTTGACAATTCATTTCTTAAGATTAAGATGAATGAGAAATCATCACAACAGCTATTTAATTTGGGGTTTATGGGAACTTGGGAGAAGGAATCATTCACTTTGGGGGAAAGTGAGAATCTCTTATTTGCAAATTTACTTACCATTTGAAGTGGATACAATGATTTCACTTCAGTTGCAGAAATCTCAAAGAGCCCATGATCTTCCTCCAAAACTGTAGCTTGCCCCTTAAAATTAATATCTGGGTAGGCAAGCCAACTAAATAAGAAATAAATGATTGGTTACAAAATATAGCCCCTGAACCAAACCCAAGCCATCGAGTTGAGTCTCACTCATAGTGACTCTACTTGGGGTTTCCAAGACAGTTTTATCTCTATGGGAGCAGACAGCCTCATCTTTCTCCCACAGAGCCACTGGTGGGTTTGAACTGCTGACATTGTGGGTAGCAGCCCTGTGCTCATCCTATAGCACCACCAAAACGCCTTAAAGTACTACAGTACTACTTAAATCTAGTTATTACCAATCCAAATTCTAGGCATTAATGTTCTTAGAATTTCCCAATGACTAAAAGGCATGACACTTTGATTTAAAGCAGAATATAACTGAAAAACCTAAATCATTCCACTATATTCCCTTCCTTTTTCTAACAGAGCAATCTGAGGCAGGGATTCCATCAGGCATTTTATATCTCCAGCTCACATTTTTAGAGCTGATACTAGTTGTAGTTGCTGCCTCAGATCAGTGTTTGAAAAAGATTCTCCAAAGATCTTGCTCGCTTTCAGCTAAACTTGATTATTACAAACATTTCTCATGGACAGGGTCAATTACTAGGTAACCACCAGAGTTCTGAGCAATGGCTGGGGGAGATGAAGAACGCTGTTCAACAGTGACCAAAATTTTGACACTAAACTTCTCAGCAAAATGAAAATAGTGGAACAGAGAAAGAAGGAGGATTTAAATTGAGCCAGGCATTCACAGGCTTTTGGGATTCAAGTCATTTGGGGGACTAAACCAAGACTGTGCTGAGTTAGACCCATACTCCTAAAGATACCTTTGGAATCATAGCGACTGAGATGAAATCTATACATACCAACTAACAGCCTGAGGCAAACTACTGAATTTCTTCATCCATGTGCTTCATGATAGCAGCACCACCTGCCTTGCAGGTATAAGTGTCATCGACACAAAAGTACCAGGTGTTTGAAACTAAATAAGGACTCAGTAACTATTAGCAATTAGAAGCAGTATTAGCAATAGTTCAAGATCCAGAATCTTAGGTCAGGGACCCGTGTTTTGTTTATCATTCCCAAAACGTGATAGATGAACAGAGCAGATGGATGCATCTATCAAAAACTGTGCCTGAGAATTGTACACCTATTCGTGCGAGTCATACATCAAGCCCTAATTGGATCTAAGGAAAGAGAAGCTATTTTAATCCCTCAAACAGTCTTTACAAATGAAATTAACTAATGAGAACTGCAGAAATATGCATGTCACCTATTAAAATATGAAATAAAGAGTAACTTTGGAGGTCATCAATCACTATTATTACATCAAACTGATACGTACACTCCTGACTTCACAGTGAAGGACACAGATTTGGGAATATTCAGTTCTTCCAAATTGGGGACCGCTCGCTGTATGTAGACAGGACAACATGTTGGGTCAGACTGCGGACAAAGTTCTATCTCTGGAATGCTGCAATCCTGGTGGGGAGAAAAAAAAAAAAGACTTTGAAATCATTTTGAGGCACACAGCCTTACAGTCACAATATTCAGGACATGCAACTACAATTATTCTCATTGTTCTGTCAAATTTCTTCACAATAACACCACAAAGGAAATATTGTTTCTGCTTACCAGAATTTTAAAACAGCATTTTTCTAAGAGTTATACTGATAATATGAAAATTGATTGGAAATTAATCATGATTCTTTGTTTTGTTTTTTAAAGAATTCGCTTAAGCAATGTTCAGCGCTACAAACCTATTTGAACGCCAAATGCCTGTAAGCCTTCCTCCGTAAAAGCAAAACAAAGCCATAGAGGAGGAAGGGAATTCAATAAAAGCTGATCTCATGGGGGACATAAAAAATAAAGAATAGAGAGTGTTTATCTAATGTAAACTGACAAAAGGAGGAGGAATCGGAGGTGAGGGTAAAGGAAATCTGTTTTCCTAATTTTTTTGGTGCAGTCTGTCTGGAAAAAGAAAGGTATTAAGAGTTGAAATATGCATCTTCACATAACCCAGTCTTAAAAATGATGCACCCACTGCCACCTGTCAAACCAGTCTTCAAAATTTCACTTTGGGGGAGTTCCTGGATGGGACAAGCAGCTTATGTGCTCTGCTATTCACCAAGAGGTGGGAAGTTGAATCTACCCAGAGGGACCCCAAGAAGAAACGCCTTGATGATCTACTTTAAAAACAAAAACAGCCAGAGAACATATGAATATAGCACACATGGGGTCACCATGCTATGCATAGGTAATAACTTGACAACACCTGGCTGGTTATATCCCAGTGATTTATTCTGTCAGTGATCATGGTTACGATGACAAGCCTACTCATTACCACCAATCAAGCACTAGCTACTCTTCATATAGCTGGACGTTTCCTAAGACACTACTTCATAATATTCTACTTTCCATAAGCCACTCCCTGGTTCAATGCCCTAGCACCAGAATATGGATCCACACTACTTTCCCATAATTCTGCATTCTCTGTTATCCCTATCCAACTCTGGTCTGTGTACCACAGATGGTTTCCCGGTTTCCCTCTCTCTACTAAAAAGGTAGTTCTCTATATTCCTATTATGAACAGCTCTTTTAATATATATGTTTTAGATCAAAAAACACCTCATTCTTTCTTAGGGACTCCAGATCCTATTTATTTTCCCCTTGCTTGAAATTACAGATGCATTTCTGTCTGAACACACAATCTATCTCCATACTCTCTGTAAGTGTTTAATTATACCACTCAAGTTTCAATAACATAATTCTTACCTACAACACTGTGAAATGATTAAGCTTTAAAGAGGCAAATACAATAATAATCAGTAGCATTTATTAGAAATGGGCCACTTTTTATTATTATGGTAAAGCTTACAATTTCAAACTGTAATCTTCTCATTTCTTTTAACATTTCTCCAAAGTAAGTTCTCAACCATTCTGAATATATAAAAAGCTAGCAAATTTCTGTCTTATTTTCAGAAAATTAGCTCTAAAATACAATATATGAAAGAAGCATAACCTAAAAAGTATCCTTTAAAATGTTAAAAGTATATTCCCTTCTACAGTTTCACTTGAAAAAAAAAAAAAAAATCCAGAAATGTCACCTGTTCAGTGTGCAGAGCTCTTTTGTTTGCTATTAATAATAGAGTTCTAATAACATTATTGAAAGTACTGCCATATTCATGTTCCCCCAGGGATCGGAGGTACAGTAACAGAATATGAAACTAAGTGTCTCACACAAACAAGTTTCCTCTGCATTGTGTTATACAAACAATGTTTGGGTGGTGTACTAAAAGGAAAAAAGCTAAGAGGCATTCAATTTTAAAACAAATGGAAACAGCACAACAGCCAAAGTATAACGATGGCTAAAATAGACAAAATAAAAATTAAAATGTACATGTTCTCAGTTATCATAACTAGAATCCCAATTTCTGCTCTCATTCACTGCAAATGATTACACTGATAAAAAATTTCTATCTTTTTCATGTTGGGTATTCACAGAAATAAAACACTTTTTCTAAGACTTGTTTAAATATCTTATTTCTTGATGGATGAAGACAGTCAACCACTCTGTCTAGCAAGTGAAGGACACTTTATAGTAATCAAGTACCAATAGCCAGTTTACTCTGAGTTGAATGTATATGGCTTCCTCCCAGACTTTTCTACTAATTTTATACTTCACAAATACATTTTAAATTAAATCTTCTAAGGAATGGAGACAAAGGTAACATTTTCTTTGACCTGCAAGGGGGTTTCAAAAAGTACATGGAAAACTTTCACTATATTTTCATTCCATTTTCCATTAACTTTTTGAAGCTCCCTCTTTTATTATAATATTTCCCACCTTCAATTCATTCCCCTGTTCCTTAATTTTTGTAATACATGAAACATAAAAAAAAGCACTAAATCTTCCTCTGTGTCAGTATTCCAATTATTAAATAAGCTAACGTTAGAAAAAAACAGAAGAAAAAAACCGCAAAAGACATCAATAGGCATTTCAGAGATGAGAAAGCAAGCAAGGCCAATAAATGTTCAAGCTCATTAATAATAAGGCAACTGTAAATCAAAACCTCAATGTAAGAAACCATTTTACATGTACCAGATTGAAAAAAATTGAAAAGTTAGCTAAAATTGGTTAGAAAAGGCATTCAACAGTAGAGGAATTAAAAAGCAAAACAAAACTACACAACCAACCTCTTAAAGCTGAAGATGAACATCCCTTAAGATATGGAGAATCTACTTCCAGGTATGTATATACATATGAGAAAGGAGCTCTAGTAGCATAGTGGTTACGAATCGGGCTGCTAACCTCGGGGTCAGCAGTTTGAAACTACCAGCTGTTCAGCGGGAGAAAGATGAGGCTTTCTGTTCCTGTAAAGATTTACAGCCTCAGAAACCCTGTTCAAGGTCACCATGAGTCAGAACTGACTCCACGGCACATAACCATCATATATATGAGAGAGAGGTGCAGCAGCAACAGCAGCAACAAATTCATCCTGGAGTTTGTTACAAATGCAAATTCTCAGGCCCAAGCCCAAGCCCACTAAATCAGAAACTCTGCAGTTGGGGCCCAGCAATCTGTGTGTTAACAATTTGTGTTTCTAACACTTTTAGGTGATTGTGATCTCTTTGAAAGTCTGGGAAGCATTGAGTTAGAGAAACTTCAGTACATGTGAACCAGGAGACATGTACAAGAATATTCGCAGCAACATTTTCTGTTAACCATAAAGAACGAAAAAAACTTAAAACACCTGTGGTCAAGAAAAGAGAGTACTGGATTGTGCTGGATTCAAGTATACCAGTAAGCATGAATGAACTTCAGGTATAAGGCAACAACAAGGTTGAATCTCAGGAGCAAAGCTAAGCAAAGAAACAAGCTGAAAATATAAATTCCATTTACATATAAAGCTCAAAAGCAGAAAAATATAAGCAATAAACTATACAGACAGCAACAGGAAAAGCTTGGTACATAAGAGTCAAAATATTGATGTTCTTAAAAAGTCAAAATAATGATGTTCTAGTGATGCTGTGGGCTAATGCATCAGACTGCAAAGTCATTTGAACTGCAAGGTCAATGGTTCAAGTTCACCATTGTTGTTAAGTGTTGTTGAGTCGATTCTGACCCATAGTGACCCTGTGTAGGGTTTCCAAGGAGTAGGTGGTGAGCTTGAACTGCCGACCTTGCAGTTCCAACGACTTTGCATCCTGATGCATTAGCCCACAGCGCCACACCAGGACTCATAGTGACTCATTTTTTTTTAAGTATATATCATTATCTCACTTTCGCTCAAAAACCTCTAATGGCTACTTTTTTTTTTTAAAGCTTTTATTGTGAATTGAGTGATAGTTTACATGGGAGAACATTGGTTTTGCACTCATCCTATCGTATTTTGTTTCATCACAATGATTAAATCCCTTCTATGCACCATCATTTAACAGTATTTGCTTTATTATTCCCTCTTTCTTATTTTTGTGTGTTTTTTGTTTGCTTTTTATATACACAAAAACACTCAGGAATACATAATCATTTAAACAACCAAAGGGCACATTCTGCAAACCAGCCTCCTGGCCACCAGCACACCACCTTTCTCTTTCCATTGAGTCTAGAGTCCTCAACTGCTCTCTCTCTCCATGCCATCACCTCTGCCTTCATCTCTCGTGTCCCTGCTTCTCCGGTTAGATTTCCATGTTATGCTCATGTTCTTCTCTCTTGATAGTGCTAGGTTATACGGTTCCTGGAATGTAAGATTAACTATTCCCCCATTTATATTACAGAACGCCTAATCTTTAGCTGTGACAATTGCAATTAGTCATGATAACAGTTACTCACTATTGATTCAAAAGAATCCTATCTCCATCCCCATACAGATAAGATTAAAATTATTCAAAGGGGATTCTACCTTCCCCTGCATACTTTATAGTGCCCCCGTTTTAGGTAGCCAATGTCTAAGTTGCTCATCCCTATCAACCCTGTATACTGAGGGGATAGGCTTGATCCTTAATGTGAAGATTCCTTCCCCCTCAGTTGGTATTTTGAGCTACTACATTCAATCCATAAGTATAGGTCAAATTCATCAAATTGTAGCAATGCACAATTGCTTCCCTTTATCAGATTTCTTTATCTTACTCTGGTTGAACTCTGGTCATCAAGCCATTGAAACTCAGTCAAATGGGTACTATCTGCAAGTTTGAGAGCTCATATACATCTCCCCCAACTTCCTATCAACTGGACACTTCACTCTTAGCTCTAGCCCTCCGTGGCTAGGTCAACGTCCATGTGCTCAAGAATTCCCAAGTCTCCCCAAACTTCAGACCAACCAGCCCTTCCTCTTCTGCCTCTCATCTCAAGGTCAACAGGAGTCTATGGAACGTGGTCAAACTCAGCCCGTATCTTCATTACTGACTTTTCCCCACCTTCCACTCACATGCAGACCAACACAGTCATGGCTACTTTTTTTGCAGGGGGAAAAAAAAAATCT